TTCTTGCAGCACAATTTGCACCTTTGCCAATTTGATATTCATTTGCCAGTTCATTCGCAGCTTACTGATATCTATTAAAATTGCTATGCTCGAGTAACGTGCCAAATAATATGCAGCGTCTCCTGGAAAATGGCACCAACATTTCTTATATTTTAAGATCGAATTTCGGACGTGCGAAAAGAAGCAACCATACTTCTGGCTAAAATATTAGGCAAATTTATACATGAAGAGTGGACGGAGCAGTGCAACAATTCGACGTCGACCGATGAATCGCCGGTACCGGTCACGGAATCGTTTGTCAATGATATTGTAAATGGGTTCGCTCGATCGATGAGCTGGCAAAGGCGTCAGACGTACGTTTTAGCTACTCTTTAACAGCACTGAGATGATAAACAATTGTCGTCTTCCTGATAAACAAGTGGTAAGGAAGATTGGACAGACTGTCTGCGTGATCTTTGGCATTTGAATTAGACGAATGGCATGTGATATATTTGTTTTTAAGTATTCTGCATTATTGCAGGCGAGTAATAAGGCTTAAATTGCTTGCTATGAAAATTAGACAAATACCACATGGTATTTCACGAGCTATTTTACAAATCAAAATAATGATACGAATATTACTCTTTTGACAGTTAAAGAAGGGAACGGGGCAAAAGGCATTTATGCAAAATAAATTCAGAGACACGGGATTCATAGAGTATAGCCGTGTTTCTTTAACCAGTTTCTACCCGTGTAGTTGAAATCTCTGTATTTTAAGGAAAAAAATGAAACTCGATGATTTACTCTTTATGAAAGACATAGAAAGGCTGGTAATAATTCTGTCTCCCTTACATCTTGCAGCAGCAGTTTACTGTCAAAACGGATAAACAGAACATAGGGAACTTCACTGTCCCATTCCCCGAATCGAACTCTCGACGTTTAACACGGGATTATTGCTATATGCTTGTTTCATTCTGGTAACAAGTGCCTTTTTTAGGTTCGCATTATTCTGTGAGAAATGTATAGAAAGTAGGCTGATGAGCTACGATCAATTCTCGTCACTTTTACTCGATGATTTGCTCAAGCTGTCTTTCGATGGTAAGTGAAACTTGCAACCTCCCATTTAGCGCTATTTGTTCCGAAACTTTTTTTTTCGAGAAAAATCAGCTCAAACAGTGTTGAAATTCTGATTGCTGCAGAGAAGTTCCAACAGCGTTTTTGAGTTTTACGGATAGTCTAAAAATGACTTGAAATTAGTAAGCTGTTGTGGCACTATGAAGCGAATTTTTGGAATTTTCAGCAGTGCCAAATGTGCGCCTGGCATTTGCTAGGGCTGTCTCACAAACACGTGGTGGACGTAGTTTTCATGGGGAACGTGATTCGTCTGCGGTACGACGTGGTCTACAGAAGCTTTTGATTGATAAGGATCTCGACTGTAGGCGTGCTGCTCGAAATTCACTCGGTTTCTCAGATACCGAGAGTCTTGTGGATGTAAGTTTGCTACT